TGAACGACACTCGGATGATAACTTGGAAAATTATGACGATCGAAAGAAAATTTTGTCCATTTAAGCGAATTCAATTGAAATTCACTCACATGACGATCCTTTAATGTTCGTTCATTTATTTTTTTCGAAAATTTTACACTGGGATCGACTTCAATTGAATGTATAGAATTTATGAGAAGAGAGAGAGAGAGAGAGAGAGAAAAAAAAAATAAAAGAGTTTAATGAAACTATAGTTTTTAAATATCGTATCGACAAATTGGAAAATGACGCGTTTATATAGAATCGAATATTGTATATCTCTCGTGTATTTACCACCTCGTTAAATATACTCTGGCGTGCGAAACGTTATCTTTCTGAAACATTGAAGCCAAATCCAATAAACCAGAAATAAAATTTTTCGCTCGATTCATTTGTTTTAAAATAAATACGAATTAATTTTATGACTTTTCCTACGGGCGAAAAATTGTCACCCGTTATTACACAATTGAACGCTTGAATCTTGTGAAACTGCTTGATTGATTAAGCGATATAATTTGATTAGAGAGAATATAAAATTTAATGGCGTAAAAATTTTATTAGTTTAGTTTGAAATTTAGGCGATCGATATCTTAAGCTAGATCTAATTTATAATCTAATCCTTACTAATTCACGCTAATCTATACTTAACTCCCCCATTATATTCTAAATTAGATTAACTTCAACTTGGACACCTTTCAAATTATATCAACTTATAAATATAATTTTAAATTTTATAAACTCATAACAAAACGCAATTTTTAATTTTAAAAAAAATTATATAAGAAGAAGAAAGATTTGAAAATTTGCCTAAACAATATTCTGTTCACGTAATAGATCTTATTCATCGTATTTTTTGCTATCCACTTCTGCTATTTTTCTACAGTTACGTGATCACGAGCAATATTAGAAAACTATATCATAGCGCTAAGTACTAGTTAAGTTTGATCTAATCTATTCTTGATTCACACTTAACCCAAATCCAACAAACGTTATCACTTTTAAACCACCCTCGAACACGAAAAAGGAATTGCATTCATTGATGATTAAATAAAAATGCAAAAGAAAAGAATAAAATATTGTATGCAGGGAAACTCACTCTTTTTCACACGAACAATCGTTTCAATTAGAGACACAATATAGTTAACAATAATGTATACTTATTTTACAGACATTTGTCATACAATTCAGAGAAAATAAGACAAAAGAAGAGTAGGCATTATCATAACTCGTCCTAACTACCTTTCTCTCCCTCCCTCTCTCTCTCTCTCTATTTCTCACTCTTTTTCTTTGTACATACATACATGTTTGAGTCATTCGTATCTACACGTATAACTTGACAAAGAATGCAACCACGAAAGCGAAATGCACACGCGTATATAACAGTGGAACGCGCAGACAAATGTCGATGGCGAGCAACAAGTGTCGAGGAGGTCTTTACTTTCTGACAATGAGCACAAAATCTGGCTGACTTGAATACGCGAACACAAGCGAGCAAGAGGAAAAGGAGGAGAGAGTACGTCGCCAAAGGTTCTACGTTCACAATTAGCAATCACGCAAATTCGGCTGCTCCCCTTTCATTCATTCCCCATTCTTTTCTATTCCATCTCGTGTATATATATATATATATATATATATATATATACATATACATTCACTGTGCAAAATTGTATTGTGTGCATTTACTTACTATACGTATTTATTATTGTCGGCGTGTAATCGTGGAATTTTAATTCAAAGTTTGTTGCGCCACGTTCGCGGAAACGTGTGTCACGCGAAACAAGCATGAATCAACATGCAACGATCGTAATTGATAATTGGCCGAGAAAAGTGGTGTTTGGTTAATGAACGATTACGATAAGTGTCGCGCGCGATGGAATTTTCGGCCATTTCTTTCGTGCCTTCGTCGCATTTGCCAAGGGACCTCGATCCCTATCAGATCAGATCGTATCGCGCTTCTCCGTTCTGGTGACTAACATGAGAACCTGCGAAATTGAATTAATTTACCTGAGTGCGACTGGTAATTAGTCGAACGTTCTTGCGAGGAATTTTATAATTGGATTAATATGATTTTAAGAAAATATTTTAAAAATTTTACAAATTTTGATGGACGATTAATAAATTATAAATTACGTTACAATTTTTTTGTACCTTTTGAAGTCTTATAAGATAGTTATTTTACGTAACGTTGTCTTTATTATTTTTTTTTTTTTGGTTAATTAATTTCTTGACGTGTACTTCCTTCGCGTATCGTGGAACTCAATTATTCTGCTCGTTTGTTAACTGAAATTAAAAGTAAGATTAACAATGAACAAATGAAAAAAACCAACTCTTCTAATTCCAATTATACTCGATCGTTATTATTCAGGATCAGCTGTGCGAACTTTTGTAGATCAAGCCTTCTATTCGAGTAGAAACGGTTTCATTCAGAGGTCATTTCACATTTCATTTAGCGGAAGATTCCTTGGCCCCCGTAAAATTACACGGAACCTTTATTCGATAAGTTTTTCACATTTCATTTCACGCAAGATTCATTCGGCCCTCGTAAAGTTACCTCCGCGGGTAAGACCTACTACCCGATATTCCTCTCCCCTTTCGCATCCCATTCGTAGTTACACCGTTGTTGTCAAGTTCCACGAAACTCGCGCGAGACAAGCGTTCGATAATTACGTCGCATCTCGCCGCCAATCTCCCTCGAGATGATCAAACGTGATCATCGTGCGATCGTGTAACGTCATGTAGGTATATATATTTTGTTTCAAAACAAAAATCAAATTGCGTATAACGTAATAACACTCTGCGTGTGTAATAATGTATCGATTTTGATCGATATTTTGTCACATTTTTTTTATTTAATAAGAATTATTTTTTTAGCGTCGTATTTCTACGACATATAGAAGGGTATTTATAAAACAGAGACTAGAATTAGTATTTTTATTACATATTATATAATTGAAATAATATGTTGATAAAAGTAATAATATATGAAAAATTGGTAAGGAATTAAAAATTTATGGAATTTTCTCGCGACATCTTCCCTTTATGAAGTCATAATTGGGAGGACATCTGACGGGAACTGTAATGAGTTGTCTGTTCGTTATATTAAAATTTTCAGTTAATTCTAATTCTGGTTTTTCCGTAGTTGTTGTGTAAATTGGTGGGTCGAAAATATGAAAATTAGGAATCTTTACGTTTTCCTTCACTTTTTTGAACGCTTCATGGATCTTTTGTAGAAAAGTAGGCTGCTCGGTTGTGGTTGTGTCTGTGAACTGTCCCTGGGAAAGACACGTCAACACAACAAGCATAAAGAAGCAAAGATGGAGAATATAAACTTGAAATCTCATCTTTGTGATATCACCACGAGAACCTTGACATAGAAATATTTGTGTTTGTTTATTCGTGAAACATCCAATATTATAATCTGTAATCTGAATATAGATTACCTTTTCAATTTGAAAAAATTGAAGATCCTTTTCTTATATCTCAACCTCTTTTTCTCAATATATCAAATTAAAATTGCCAATCACTTTTTAAGGAAACCTGTATAATAGAATATGAAATTTACAAATTTGCACAACCCATAATCTTCTACACAAGATAAATGTGAGATAATTGCAGGATAAATAATTAATAAAAAAAATAATTAATCACTTCTTTTGCAAAAAGAATTCACATAAACCGTTTATCCTTTTGACAACATTTTCTTAACAAACTTTCCACTAAATATATCTCTGTACGCTAAATTTATCTTCACAATTGATATTCAAATATATAAAATCATTCACAGTTATATTCGAATTTGCTTCCAAAAAATTCTCTCAAATTTCACTTTTCACCGTCTATGAAACAATCTACAATATACATATTATAATATATAAATCAAAAAAAAAAAAAAAAAAAAAAAAAAAAAAAAAA